AAAAATTCTAGTATCAGTCCCTCATCACCTTAAACGAAATAGGGTGAATAAATCTCATATAACTGATTTACTGGTAGTCTCGATACTCTACTTACATACGAAGTTCATTCATTTTCCACTTCTCCGCTATTTACACATTGATGCATAAGACCCTTAAGTCTGACCTTAAAGCCCTAATTATAGTCTTGTATGTTGTTTTATCATCTAATCCCTCTAACATTTTCTTTACATAATCAGTCTTATCCATAACTATTACTGCTCCCCCTTTGTCTGCTCTTAATGCTAGCTGCTCGTTCTCCCTAAGCTTCCTTATAATAGTATTAACTGTCCTATTCTTATCGCACGTTAGGTGTATGAAGAGCGACTGGGGTTGGAGGCGGCCACTTTTTCTCTTGGTTTAGTATATTTTTGCTCTATTTCGTGGAGTATGTATGCCTGCTTATACGATGTATATTACAATGCAAACGAAAGCCTAGCACAGTTTCATCGGGGTCGCAGTATGGTGAGCCGAGGACTTTTTCGCATAATTTAACAGCCATCCTATGCGGCAATCCTCCTTCGGTTTACGGTGACACCACATCACGAATTACTACCAACCAACTTTTCCTTGGAAATGGAGAGTAATGCCAGTTTTTCTACATTCCTTAATTAGCCTGAGATACTTTCATAAGAACCCTCTTAGTTCTAAGTGCCAAATAAAGTCTATCAATATAATAAAACTCAAAAATAATATTACGCGAGGCATACCTACAAAAATCTAAAGTGATCAACTTACTTGGCCATCAATTTCTCAGTCTTGGTGCAAAATAATGAATTTCGAAAAGAATAACCTCGACAAGTATTTTTGAGATATGAATAAAAGCCAGGCCCCGAAAAATCCATTAGTTGATTGATGCTGGCGTACCTTTCGTTTGGTTTGAAAAGCGAATGAGGGGGATATGCAGATTGGCCTCATCGGATGCCGAAGGATGGTTTCTTGTGGGATGATGATAACAATAGCTTTGGGTAGAGCGCGTTATGTAAAGTCATGGTAAACACATAAAGCGAGCGATGAGACTCGAGAATAAACCAGAAGGAAAACCAAATTCTATGGGAAGACAGATCCCTGCCACAGCTCTTCACTCTCAGTAGGAATGCTCAATCGCTCCTGCTGTTCCTGTAAGACGGATGAATGAGTCAATAAGATCAGGTTATCCGGGCACAGCTTGCGCGGGAACAGGAACCCAATCCGTAGACCTTCGAACGGATACGAAACAGTCGTGGCCGCTAGCGCATTCGAATCGATAAGGCTAGACCTCGAGTAATCGTCTGAGGCATACATTGCCTAAGCAAACTACCTGTGACCTCGTAATTAGTCCGTTTATCATACTTAATTCAAATGTGCTCAGAGTCTACAGAAATGGCCCTTACCCAATAATTATATTGAGTACGACTCAAATGACAGTTTACCAATTGGACCAACCTGATCCCTCTTGTGTATTTTGTGCGATATAGTTAAAATTGTAGCTGATTATTTTTTACATCGTCTCGAATTATTGGATTGATTCGCTCAGGGAGCTTCTTTTATTTTGCTCCACATGTTTTTAACATGCTCCGCAGGTTATATAACAAAATATTTTTTGTATGTAAATAGTTTCGAGACTACCAGTAAATCAGTTATGAGATGTATTCACCCTATTTCGTTTAAGGTGATGAAGGACTGATAGTAGAATTTTCCCACAATTATGAGTAGAGCTGAAGTTTACATGGAATTTTACATTGGCTTGCTTTCCCAAAAGATGTTCCTATCTGAAGTTGACTGAAGTTTCGACTTCGCATAGTTCTTCGTTAAAATAAAGGAAATAGGGTGAATACACTTAGTGTAGTGTCATATTACAATTATTTTAATTTTTCATTAATTTCCATGCTAATTTCATTATAACTCATAGCCACATCATAGCAGTTTGGATAGGAGGCACAGCCTGACCTCACTACTCAGCATTAATGTGGTCCGTTATAAAAATTATGCCTCTTAAGAGAGATAAACACTTAAATAAGAAAAGTAATGAGATTGAACCAGATATATTAATAATAGGTCAGGTCTGGAAAAGATGTAATGTTTGTCTGCCGGCTGGACTGAGGAAAAATAGAGAAGACCTTATACGTATTTCACACAGCCATGTCTAAAAAAT